CTGTCCCAGCCCACCCCCGGCAGGCGCTTCCCTCCAGCCGACAGCACGTTGCTTCTCCAGACTGGTGGTTGCACTATTTTTTTCAGTAATTCTCTCAGTATTTTTTTTTTAAATTTTTTTTCCTGCCAAAAAAAAAAAAAAAGCTGCTTGAAGTGACGTTTCAGCGCTGTGTTGAGCACTGTAATTCCTGCGGTTGGGGCAGGTGGGCTGCGACCTGCACATCGTGTGCTGGATTTTTACCCAAAAAAGAAATTTCCAGCATCTGCTGAAGTACCAGCCCCAGACACCGGCCCGTCCGACGCGTTCCTTACGTTGGCGTGTGTAAATGAGAGCATCCCATCGGCTGTACGCATTCGTTCTGTCACGGGTAAGACAACTGTGGTACTAAATGTCATTCGAACCAATAAATTATGATGTCAGAGCCGTGGCCGTGTGGTGCTGGGGCAGGGGAGGGAGGTGGGGTTGCAGAGCCCTGGGGTGCGGGACACCCACAAAACCATCCGCCCGGGGTGGGGGGGGCAGTGGCTACACGTGTGTGTGTACCAGGTAAATACACTTCGTATCAGCTCCACACACGTACTTATGTGTGTAATATAACACTCTATATAATAACTTGTGTATATGTGTGTATTATATAGCATATATTTTCTATATAAGCCTCATATTTTATATATATGTGTGCACACACAAAAGATGTGGATTTCTCAGGAATATAGAAATAAATGCTGTGAAGGAGTTGTTGAATAGTCCCAGCCACAACTATAACCTGTGCATCGTAGATATAGTGTAGTACATAATACACTTTTATGTGTGTGTAGAGGAGCTGAATATAGTTCATATGAACACATGCACGTATATATGTAGCCATCATTAGACATATACATTTAATTTAGAAATATATAAGCTATATGTATTTCATACATTTCTGTATATGTAGAGACACTTTTATAATTGCAAATTTATAAATTCTTCAACTGTATATTATACATATACACATGTGCATGCTTTTTACATAGGTCTAACAATTTATACTGTAAATTTAAGAGAAAAATAGTGCGTATACACATATCCATATGCATATGTATATGCATAACTATAGATAATTTATATTAAAAGTATTTATAAATATATATTTTACACACACAGCATCACTCACCCTTGCTTAAAAAACCCAGGCATGTCAGAAGCCGGGAGGGGAAGGCAGGGCTAGTTGTTTGTGTGCGATAATTAATACTATAAATTATATGCCATACAATTTTAATTGTAAGTTACTATATATACACAAGAGGCTGTTTATATGCGTGTATGCACACACCTGTGCTCGGGCACCGGCGGCTTCAAACCAGGGCCGCCAGGAC